TCGCACGCAGCACATCGGGGTTAAATCAAGATGCGTCGACTATGCAAAAGGCTCAGGTGATCTTGTGCGTTAGGCATCTTGCACTTTCCCTCCCACTAGTCGGAGGAACTGGCAAAAACAAGCCATGTCCACATATGTGGACACCTCAGGGAAAGAAGTCTAATTTGGTAACGACGTTAAGTCTTTGAAACGCTTCTCATCAGTCTTGAGATAGGTTGCCCTCTGGAAGACACTCATGTACTTGTGTTTTAGGTGTGAATCTCTTTTGGCGAGTGCCCTTTTCTCTCTCCTCGTTTCTTTTGGCATCTGTAATTACGTCCCGTTTAGTTAACGCTAGTGTAACGTAAATGTTAACTTTGGCACCACCGAAGGCAAATCACGCGGGATCACACACCACCGGAGCTCGGAAGAAATTGAAAAGCAACATCTTGCTTCCTAAAACAAAACCCGCCACTCTCAACGGCATCAGGTTTTTTCGGAGCTGAGCTCACTGCCAGGGGAGACATCTTGTAGACGACAGTTCCAAGGACACTTGCCATCCCCGCGTTGGCTTGGCTGCCGCAGCCAGACGAACGAAAAAACAACTATATCCATTGGGCTTCACACCGGCTTGGAAGAGAGTGAGGAACTGCTTTTCGACAAGTGCCAGGCCACGTGATCCGGAGCGGGCTCAACGACTGCCGTCGACAGCAGGCCAGATCTTGGCCGAAGGTAGCCAAGCGCAAAACAGCTTTTCAAGCTTCGATGCAGTCGACTACGCTCGGGCAAAGGGGGGCAAAGGCTGCAGCCATCCACAACTTGGCAGTGGTGCCAAGAAAATGAAAGACGCGGGGGCCGGACCTATCACCTTCCCTCAACGGACCGAAGTTGCGGGGAAAAAAGATATATAAGATTGAAAGCGCTGAACCTGGAGTCGTGTACGTCCGTTCAGCCACGGTGTGATGAGACGCGTCCGTAGACCGAAATAGACGACATCCCCCGACCACTGAGACCGAAGCATTAGCTCCACTCGTCTTAAAGAGGGTGGCACCAACCCACAAATCACTTCCCAAGAGTCGCTAAACCGAGGGCGTAGAACGAAGCGATGGCGCACGAAGATACAGCCGCGGCCTGTTGTTGGGCTGGTCGAGAAGGAATCGAGCGAAAGCTGCCCTTCGTAGACCTTACATCAACTCTGATTTCAAGCATACGTGTACATTAATATACTCTTCCGACACCCTAAGCTTCATATTAATTGGAGAGTCTACACTCGTTTTTAATCTTATTTAGAGATGTTCTGATAGGCAGGCAGATAGAAAGCTTTCATAACACTGGAGATGCGAGAGTGCTTTGTCGCCTAGCTTGACTGTCGGGTGATGCGTACGTCGATTCGATGATCTTTTATGCAGATAAATGACGCACATATAGTGTTTCTGCAAGGTGTTTAATCTCCAAGAACAGCAACAGCGCTTTTGTGTCCTTACACTCCAATATTCACGTACAATGTTACGAAAATGCGTCACTTGAAGCTCCGCAACGTTCATTAAAGCGAAAGTGTTGCCGCACGTTCTATATCGATTAAGATCGATTCGTGAGTCAGATACCCTTAAACACTGAAATGAATCATAATATGAACCTGTACTTAGCAATGAGACTGCTCAATGATTGCATAGGTTTGTGACACAGCAAATCTACATAATAGCCTGAAGGCAAAGAAAACGTCCCTTTCAATTTATCGTATTGGAAAGCGAATAAATTTTCATGGCGACCTAATCTTAACAGGGTGGGATTAATATGCTTGATGATACTATGCTGGTGTTTGATGGTGAAGATTGGGAATGTATATTCGTCTAGATAGCATTACAGGTTATATTTATATCAAAGAAATTGAGCTTTCGGGCGAAATTTTTTTTTACGTTCAATTAAGTCGTAGCCCTGAAATGACAGGGACCGCAGAGTGCGCGCGTTCTTTGCACATTTTCGCACACATTTGCACTTTTTTGAACACGTTTGCGCTCCTTCAACCACCTTTCTTCCCTTTTGAACACCTTTGCCCCGCTTTGAGCACCTTTTCTTCCCTTTGAACACCTGTGCACTCCTTTGAACAACTTTGCACGTGAAAATTTATAGATGTATATATAGTTATTATTGAGTACTACAGGATTTGCTAGAGTTCTTTATGTCTCCTTTATGCCTCCTTTATGCAAGAGTTTTTTACGCCAAAAGAATATGGTAGTTTGCTCTACTGCTGACCTAAAGATCATGTTAGCTAACCTCGACCACGGCGAACACATTTTCGATAGAGGTAAAAATACTAGAGACGCGAGCATTCAGGTAAGGATGCATGATACACAACCCACGCGGTGGTCTAAATTTTCGGAGCTCTTCACTGCAGCCACTTTCCCGTAGCTCTCATTATCCAATTTCTCGTAATCATGTATCGTGGTTTTGGCAGATAAAATGCTCACATTTATTGTGATGAATCCTTCACTAGAAATCACCAGAGAATCTGGCATGGCCATTTGAAAAATATCAATAGTTCATCCCCGATTCCTGTACATCGGTGATATCGTAAAGATAAACACGTTCCTCACGGACCCCACATGTGCTCTATTAACAGGGTTTGCTTTTCGGATGTTTATTTAGCTTTCTTCGACTGACACCGCAAATTCGCCCATTGTTCGTTACTACTGGGTCGACAAGACAGCCTTCGATGTATTTGCACCAACGTCGTCTCTCACGGGGCCAATTCTTGGAATGAAAAAAGAATTCAACTCCAAATTCACTTTTTACGTTGTGTCCATTAAACAAAAGCAGCTTTTTTGCATAAGAACAGTAAGCGAAGCACGAATTTATTTTGCACTAAAGGCTCGGTTGTCGCTATACTATGTGTTCATTCATAGTCACATTACTTATGGGATCACTTTAAGGGGAACAACATACAGGGCTCACCTCTAATCTATTCAACATTCGCAGATTGTGGCTATACGTATTATCACTAACAATTTAATTCGGTTATCTGCTTCGTACCTCGTGCCCTAAATAGTTAACAACTTTTTCTAAACACACACACAACGTCTTGATGGCGGTTCAGGAGGGACGGCTTTCAGCTCTCCCATAGTAGAGTACCTAGTACTCTAAATTATTACCCACTTTTTCTAAACACACATCAAGAGTCCCACGGGATGGCTATATTCTCTCGCATAATAGAGTACCTGTTACTCGAAACCGTTAAAAACTTTTTCTAAATGCACAGAAGCGCGTCCTCCCGTCTCCTCGGTTCTCACGATGGTGGGAAAAGAGTGCTGAGTGCAGAGTGGCAGCTGTTGTTTTCGTGGTCAAAACAGCGATCAGAAACGTGCCGAAGTTGTCTCAGCGGTCTTACAAGTAACGATATCGGATTCTATTCAGAATGATATCATTGCGTTTTCATTACGCCGACGTACGCCCAGTATATGCACTAGCTTCATGAAGACACGTCAGGTGCCAGCCTATCAGCCACGCCGTATTCTCTTCTAAATAGAAAACTTCTATTTATGTAGGCCTAAAAAACCGTACTCGTTCGTTGGAGCCCTTAGTCCAGGCCCAGAACTTCAGGACCCCCATTGGCTCGCTCCACACCACGTGCTCGCTGGATCAGCCAATGCCGCTCCTGCGGCTTCGGCTTCCCGCAACAAGGCGTGATGTTAACGTTTTTAAAGTAAAGACGTGTGGTCCTGTCCACCCACAAATGTGTCGTTGGTTGCGCTGTTTGAAGCTGAGCGCGATCGTTAGCGAGGTTTTCGAAACACCATGGCAATACAGAGCCACCACCACTTAGAAGATTTATGACTCTGTCACTTCCCCAGCAAACTGTCGCTTGTAATAGAAGGTCACGGAACGGTGGCCGTGAAGGGAACTGCGCCCTTCGGCCTCAACTTTGAACTTTTTTGCGCTTGTTTCCGCCGCAAGAAAAAAAAAACCAGTCGTAAACGTCAGCGCTTACTACAAATCACTCGTCGACTTAGCAGGGGTTGTTATGAAAGCGCCATGTCGCAATCAAGATGGGCGTGTTGTCAAGTGCATGAAGGGAAAACTGTCTTGTGGTCTCGACCCTTGCTGCTAAAGAAAGAGCTAGCTCAAGGCCTTGGCCGCCCTGTCGAAACTCAACAGGTTCACGCAACTAAGGGCCCCTTCGCAGTAGCCGCTTTACGTCTTAGGCGCGTGATACCGTTCACGCAGAACCAGCGAGCTGCGACACCGCATGTCTTGATTCACGACAGGAAGACTGAAAGTGACATTGAGGACGCTCAGGTTTTTAGGACGTTTCTATGACGTCGATGCACAACATGGTGTTGATTCTGCGTCGACGTAAGTTTGCTTCTTCGAGGACAGTGAATGTTAGCGCAGTAATGGTGAGGAAAACTACCCAGTTAGTGGAGCCTAAACTCGTTTTACAGGCATTGTTTAGACTTCTATGAATATATCTTGAGAGTTTACCATTATTAAAACCACCTGCTCAATAAAAGGTACGAAGAAAAATTCGCCAAGGCTGTTCGTACATTGTAAAAATATCGGCCTATACCCCTTTATGTGAGAGCGACTCATTACGTGCTAGTTCACACCCTGATGGACCCAAAAAAAAGCTATTTTGTCATACCATACTAAAACCATTGCTTCGATGGGAGTGCTTGGCCAAGCCTTCGAAACCTTGGCTCGACCCTCTTCAATTTTTATCATCTCACAGATTACCATTACATAGGTAACGCGTATCAATGGTTGTGCTATTACAAATTTTCCCGTTGTAGGCGATTGTGCTTTCATCGTTGTAGGAACTTTTGCTTTCCATTTTTCGGCACAACACCGTTTGAAGATGCCTTACCGACTCGCTCCAGTAGTCCTTTCTGAAGCTCATTAGGTAGACTAGGCTGCGTGATTAAACCCGCACAGGAATCAAAGTAGTACAGAAAAAAAGCTACTCTTAATATAAATGTGAACGCGTTTAGATGTAATTTTCATAATAGTGATCATTTTCGTTTCAGTATCAGCTGCCCCATCAAAAGAAGACGTGGGAAAAAGCTACGAAGACAGTCGCTTGAAGCTCATAGTAAAAGGTGAGATTATTTGTTCCTTCGCTACAAAAAACAAGCAGTTGTACCATCGGCATCAAATGAACGCCGAACAGTGGCAGGCATTCGCAGAAGCATAGTGTGGGCCCTCCGGAAGTCACCATTGACAGGAGCTCCCATATGGTCTGGCAGCACTACGCAGATGCGCGCCTGCCCATGGAAATCACTGGACGGCACGAACTGGGCCATTTCGAATGCTTGCCGCGGTGCGGGTTTCATTTGATGCCAGAACTACACTTCCTCGGCGTATCTAGCTGTGGACCAGAAACTTGAAAACTGCTGGACAAAAGTGCTCAGTACCTGTCTTGCAAATAGCTCGTAATAAGCTTTCGACGTCTTTCTTCTGAAGTACAATTAGTCTTCGAACTGGTTGGCTACATGGACGTGCCAGCAACAGATGTAAAGAAATGTGACCACAAAGTTTAATCAGAAAAACACGTTTTTTTAATTGAAGATGTACATACGATTAGTTTCTCTATCGCTTCAGGGCGAAAACATTCATTTCTTTATAGTGCGTAAATCTTGCACTTCGACTTCCTGGCGCACGTCAACAAAGATCATAGGTGTTGCAAGGAGTCCGACCTCTTCTTTCGCTGATACTTTCGAATGAATCGGAAGCTAGATTTTTATTTCTGAGTTTCAATTTCAGAGATTAGTGGGAGCCGTTAACACAAAAGCATCGATGCGACCGATCATTGCTTGTGGCCGCCGTAGAGCATTAAGGCCCTGACAAGCGCGGTGCTTCGTTCCCGTCGCAGCTTTCGCGGACGAACTTGTACGAGAACTCTCATCGGCACTGGACAAGAGCCACGTGGAGCTGATCAAGGAGAAACTGGGAAAGCTTCCGGACCACATCCAGGAGCACCCAGCTATCGGACAGAAGCACCTATGGGTGGGCAAGGGAAAACCACCGGCCTCCAAGGATGCTGAGCGGAAAGAGCGACACGCCCTAGCCAATAGGTGAGAGATCGTGTTCAGCTGTCCTGTCAGACAGGCGTTGCATCGTGCACTATTTAGAAACCAGATGTCCCACGTGATGTTACGAGATTGCAGCCTGGTGCAGCCCAAAATGCTCCAGCTTTGTCATTTTTTTCTAAGGAACAGTGACTCATGCTTGTACATGTCAACGTATGAAAGGTGGATCTCTATCGAGATAAGCGATGTTGGAAGCAGTGTATCGCAAGGCATTCCTGTTGATTATGTCAAGAGAGAGAGAGAAAGAGAGACTTTATTTGCGCATATTGCAGAGCATTCCAAATAATGGGGCTCCCATTCCAGGGCTCCGCTGGCCTTAGCCATAATCTCTACCCGTTGGACCAGCCAACGCTGATCAGCAATGGACGGGCTAAACAGCAGTGCCTCCCATCGTTCATCTTTGTTGTTCATGTTGTGGTGTTCTTCATTGTGATGTGTACACTCCCATGTGATGTGAAACAGAGTTGGTGTGGCCCCACATCACGGACATAATCTCTGTATGATGCGGGGTAGAATACATTCAGCCTAGACCTTTCTTTAGTGTAATTCTGCAGTATTACATGGGCAACAGAAAACTGTATCCAGCACCGCATAAAAATCTCACAGCAATGGAATCGGTGACATTACGCAGAATCGAAACAAGTACATACACGAACTTACACAGGCTACATGTATTCTATCCCATGACTATGTCAACTCTTTCCTTTTCAGGAGCATCTCATGCATTCTGCCTTGCACCAAAGAGGGCTGATGCTGTATTGCAAACCGAGGAACATTTAGAGACATGGTCAAATCGACCACTGAATAGACTTCCGGCTGTAGAATTGATGCGGCTTTGAAAGTCATCGTTTGCGTACGCTGGCACTTGTACAGCTCACAAAGGCTAACCTACATCATCGGATGTAAAAACAGCGCAAAAATATAAACTATAGAGAAAGACTAAAAAAAAAAAAAGACGACGAGGCGCTGACAAAAAAAGCTTTTCTTCAGTGTTTGTCTTTTTTTTTGCGCTGTTTTTACATTCAAGCATCAACCACCAACTATCCCTCTACTACATCTAGCCCTATACAACTATCGCATCTACTACATCTAGGTCACACAAATCACTTCACCACTTGTGCATTACTGCATGTTTGGCACGAAGTGCAGCTTTTAATATAAATTTATGTAAACCACGCTAATAAGATCTGTTCCAGATATGAAATCCCAGGGTTTTTGCCCGGTGTTCGGACAGGTACACAATCGAAGAATGATTATTTAATTGACAATCCTAGTTAGCGTCAAAATCTGTATTCCTCAGCTTTTCTTGCATCTCTCATGATGTATTAGATGGAGCTAGTGATGCATAGAATGAGAGCTTCAAAGAAACAGAGTCGTTGCATAGGTAGTGAACAAGTCAGTGGAGGCTTCAGTGAAGAAAAGTTCTCAAAGGTAGTGAAGAATACTAGACTTTCGCACAGATGAAAGAAAAGATGAATAGATATGTGTGGAGTGAAAGAAACAGCGTTTAATTTGGCAGCAATCCTCATCGCTCAAGCCCTGCTGTGCGTTCGTTGAGAAAAAGTGGCTTTATGCAACTCCCACAATCCGACAGGATGTCTTCCAAAATAATCATTACGTCGTCTAGCTTCGTCATCATAAACGCTGTCTAACAAGCCCTATAAAGCCATTACTCATGACCGGACATTTTGAGAGGAGTTCCTTCAGTTTTTATTAAGCAAACTTACAAAGAGGTTGTCACTAATATGTGACGCGGACGATTTCTCTTGCGTAATAGAGGTAGTCGCAAACTAGTGCACAATCACAAAAGTATTCAAATAGCCGTATGTACGAACGCTTGGACACTTAGACCCAGTCGTTCCATACAAAGAAATGTCCACTTCCACATAACATAAATGATCGCACAAGCGAAATATACGCACGCAACAGATGTATTAGTCAAAATGTTCACAAGGCAAGTGTTTAGGTACTCAAAATTGTCTCTAACTGCAACAGCTGTGCTTGCAGAACCGAATTTTTCACAAAGGCAGCGCAAGAAACATGCAGCCAATGTTTACGGTCAATGGCAAAATTGCGCATAGTTCTTCTCTCAGAATTACTATATTTGTTGTATTTATGATTGCTGGAAATATTTCACGAATGTGCGCACAGCGATGTTTTGAAGGTTTTCCCCTTACTATATGCCCAAAATGGCTGCTGACACGAAGGTCGCAGGTTCAATTCCTGCCGCAGCTGTCGCATTTCGATGGAGGGGATATGGTAGCGGCATGTACATGTGGAATGTCAGAGGACGTTAAAGAACGCAAGATGGTCGAAACTTCCGGAACCCTCCACTACGGTGTTTCTCTCAATCATATTAAGGTTTTGGAATGTAAAAACCCCTCTATAATATTATAGGTGCGAAATATTTACTGTTGACAGTTCCCTTAACTAGTCCCAGTTAGGGAACTCGCAATCGGGTCCTGAATAAATGCTGTCTATGTTCAGAAAATCCGACGAAAATTGTCTGGTTTCCTGGCTACATCAAGCACTTTAGGCGGGACCTGATTAAGAGCGTGGCACTGTTGCTTCTCCGCCACTTATTTGAATTTGAATGCAGGCGCAAGATGCCTGTACACAAGCGGGATGGCGCCCTGGTGCTGCCCTCGGAGGAGATCTGCCAGACGACCACCCAGTGGGAGCAGCTGAATCGCACGCAAGACTACGACGGCAACGAGGTAGAAATCGTGCAGGACGAGATACAGCAGTACGTGTTCTCGTACCGCTGTGCCACTGCACAGAACCCCTGCACAGCCATCTCTGTGCTGTGAGTACCTCGAGCGCTGCTCTTCTTCTAAGGCACCGTTTCGTCACTCCCGCGAAACATAGAACTTCCAAGCGTTACAGTACTTTCTACCACCGTCTTGACACTTCATGCTCACCTCACCCCCACATCAAATTACTGCACGCATTGTGGAAACCTTTCACTGCGATGGCCACCAGTGGTCTAGTCACCACCTGCACATAATCTACCATTGCTTCAGCGTTTCTTGTACCTCCGCTGCTTCTCACTCCTCATCTGCAGTGAGACTGTAGCAACGCTCTCTGTTGGACATTGCTTGCACAAACAGGTAATACGCACTGGACGAATAAAGGTTAGATTTAAGTAAACTATTCAAAGCGAGATATTTAAAGAAACAAAAGAGCTTTAACTATAAAGAACATTGCCAGTTTGAGCAGCACTAAGCACTTCTCCTGAGGCTTCTTGGGGACGTTAGCTTTTACACCATCCAATCCGGTACCCGGAGTCCGAGTAAAGACGAACAAGGGGGGGGGGGGGTGCCCAATATGTCAACTCTAGCAAAAACGTTGACTAACTCCTACTGTCAAATACAAGGCACACGCTTAATAGCCTCCTGGGCAGTGGTCAGTCGTTACTGCAAGAAATACCACCGTACCTAATTAATCCAGACCTAGATAACAGTTAAATCCGCCTCATGGCAGAGAAGAAGAAAACACCCTGCTGCAGTTCGCACACTAAGCCCAGCTAGAAAATTTCAACAGCGGTGCTGGTTAGGGCTGTCTTGAAAAGTTTCGTGTCGGCAGAAAACCACACGTGGGCGTGCGACACAGCAATCCACCTTGTCCATTTTCCTGTGCTGCACTCTGTCGTTTTGGTGGGGTTGCTGTCGGGGCAGGCAGAACAAGTATTGTCAGAAGCAAAGTCTGCCACACCAGAAGGCGTTTTGCGATTTCCCTGCTACAGGAAGAATGTCACAGTAAGGGCGAGCGTTATATGTAAACTCTGCTCGACAAAGTTACGCACGCGGCATACGACAAAGAGAGAAAGAGAAAGATAAGTTGAAAAAAGAAGATAGAGAAAAAAAAGTGAACGAAAACGTTAGTAAAAAATAGAGAACGAGACAGAAAGAGAGAGAAACAAAAACACAGAGCAAGACTGAAAGAGAAAGAAGGATAGAAGAATAAAATAACATAGAAAAGGCTAGACAGAAAAATAGTAAAAAACAGACAACAAATATAAAAACTTATGAATACAAAGAGAAAGAAACAAAATGAATAAAGAAAATAAAGAGTGAAAGAACGGAGCAAGAAAAGGGGAGGGAATTGAAATAGAGTTGGAAAATGGACAGAGAGAGAGAGAGAGAGAGAAATATAAAGCGGCAAGTACGAAAACAGATGCAAGAAGTAGAGATAGACTGAATGTAAAACATTTAGGACAAACAATGAAGACACCTAGCTACGCCCTTACATCTAGCTTTGCGCCACGAGGGCGAAGCTGCCATTATCTATTGTGCATTACATTTGTCACTCCACAAGTACCCAAAAGATGGTGTTATCTCTTTATCGACTATAGAATTGCTCGCGATAATTGAACGCAGAGATTCTGGCTTGTCTGTCTGTCTGTCTGTCACGTGAAACGATCCTACCACCCGGCCAATAATTAAGCATTCGCTCAATGCCCAGCCATCTTGAACTGGTGGCCGTGTTCATACTTGTGCACATAGTCGATCAAAAATCAAATTTTGCGCATATTTGAGATGCAACATCAATACGTACGTATTAGGTGGTGTGTCCTTTCAGTAGAAAATGCGTAGATACGTATTTCTATAAGCTCTAGTATTTCATAGGCTGTGCTGAAAATGCAACGCTATGCACGAAAGAAGGTCGGAAAAAGATTATCGTTTTTCGACGACATTTGCAGTGAAACATGCCTATACATGTCCTATTATTTGGTAGTTACTTCATGACTCCTTCATAAATTGTTACTTATGGTCTCTTTCTTTATATTCTGCTGTAGGTACGACAGCGAATGCACAGAACGCAAGGGCTGGATGTACCTCTACTACCGACCACTAGAGGGCGAAGAGCGAGTAGCAAAGTGGGGCTACGTTTCTGTGAACCACCACTGCGTCTGCAAGGTTACGCCGAAGGTGCCCGCTAAGAGCCTCCCCGGAAAATGCAACCATCTGCAGCTTGCGCCGAGGGCCGCTGCAAAAGAACATCGCTTTTGGCCACTCCTTTAGCAGCGCTGTTGAAACGAATCTGGAACGCTCCAAGCCACGTCTGGCTCATGTTCTTAAATGCCACGGAGAACTTAATGTAATAGACCACTGGCGATAACATCAGAAAATGTAAAGCTGGATATGTTACATTTAGGTGGTGCTAGGTCAATGAATTCTTTCTGGTAAATTATACTAAGTGCCTCCTGTAGCACATGCATTTGTTTTAAGTTATGTAATATAATGAGTGTGTATCGCAACAATATGGAGAAATGTGAAGCTGCCTACGCACTTTCAGAAGAAAAGGAGTGTGTTTGGGTAGTCTTTAGACCACGCAGAAGTAATCCTAACCTGGTATGCTTTCCTTTTATTTCTACTTTCCTAGGAAGTATGCAATTGGTGTTCGACCAGTGTGAACGCCATTTATTATCGAAATTGCCGGTCACACGGAGATAACAATAGGAAGCATGTGAGGTAGATAATTATTGTTGTGGCTAAAATACACCCCAAATACAGCGTTTTTTTTTTCAGGAGCTTATACCATTACCTCTAAAAACAATTTGCTCTCACTGGATCTATAGTCACCCCGTGTGCTTTCAATTGATTTCTTGTAAACTCGGTGGTGCTAGGCGACTTTTTATCAACAACGCCATGCCAAATTTAAAACGCAAACTGCTGTTATGAACGTGAATGGCTCGCCATTAGAGGGAGAAAAGGCACAAAAAAAAGTTGTGTTTTGACACCAAAATACGCACTGAAGGGTGCAACCGCTTTCACAGTTATTCATCAGATGTTCAAATGTTTACTGGCGCAGAAGTAGCGTGTCGTTTTAACCCAGCCACATAGTTCTTGAATCTAAGAAAGCACTCAAGCTTATCTTAGTTATCGTCCTTGGTTACGAATACAGTACTTATTGGAATAAGCTGAATGTTTTGCTTAGAAAAGCAGCGTAGTATAGTATATCGCTCTAGGCGCACATGCTAACTTCGACAACGTAGATCTCAGGCGGCTCCTGTTGCAACAAATGTTGTGTTGCTTTCATTTTCTTCGCGTTCTGCTGACTAATGCTTAATAGGCAGGTGTGCACACAAAGAGCTGATATGTGTGATTGACAGCACTGACACATCGCGTGCAGCAAGGAACTTTGCGGTCGCATAATCATTGCCTGTGCAAGGACACTAATGCAACTAAGTATTTCAAATGAATTATTTTTTTTCGACTGTGTACATCTGTTTGGAGCAATAGCTTTACGGATATTGATACTCCTGGAGCGAACATTTTTGCTTTCTTTTTATATTGTGCACTCCGCTTTGTTTACAGTACGATAGATCTTTAGTGTCGCGTATGGGTTGGCCTATTTATAAAGTTGCGCGCTATGTTTCATTCATACCCACAAATAAGGTATTAAACGCATTTAGCTGTCCATACTTCCTTCGTGCATTGATGTTCATTCACGAGCCACAATCGAGTTCATTGAACACATATCTCGCGAAATTACTACACAGTGAATCTTGTGTCCAGTATTAAGCATTTCCCTACCCTGAACGTCATCCCCGCCCATCATCCCCGCCAGTCATCCTTACCCCTTTTTGCAATTTTATAAAAAATATTTATATTCTTGCCTCTACTTCATCAATCACCCGTCATAACTCATTTGTCATCCGCGTGTTTTCATTAGCCGTAGACAGTACAATGAATTCATCAGCCCGTTTTTTTTACGCGTGAAAAGTTTTGCGTGAATGTGCGTCGCAGTTTGTATATGAGAATGTGGTGTTTATATAAAGCAGCAAAAAAAACTGTAGTGTAAAATCTTGTGCTGTTTTCTTTCTTAGTGTCGGTAAGACATTAGAACAATGAAATAAGCAAATTCTGGGACAAGGTTATGCCTACACTTCCTTGCACTGAGTCGGAAACTACAATTCTATAGAAGGTGAATATACACACATGCACCTCCTCTCCTGACATTAGAAGGCCTCAGGTGGTTCACTGGAGGGCACCTTGAAACCAGAAGTAACACGGACCAAGTACCACTCAACCGTATATATCCGTAATTATATTCCGAGGTCAAATTTAAATTATGTTATGACAGAGGAGCCCTTCAGGCCCCTTAAATTCTGGAATTTTTATATCCGTTGAAGGATACTTTTTCTGCGCATTTTCCCAAGAAGTAAGATCTCAGAAAACCATAGATGAAAAGTACATCCAATGGTGAAATTACATATGGATTCGGATACAAAGTTCCAAATTAGGTCATCAGGGCTCCGTAAATGTGGAATGAGAAAAAAATGCCTCGTAATTTCTGCCGCGCACTACAGTACACAAAACCTGAACCACTGTCATAATCAGCAATATGGAAGTTCTCGAAAGAACTTCAGCAGCGCGCTCCATAAACGGCTCTTGCCGCTTCGACTTTCCCGCTTCGGCTTTCCCGCTTCGGCATCAACCATGACTTTGGCCAGGCCTCCTGTTTTTTTTTCTCCAACCTCCACAAGATCGCAACACTGCGTGTGTAGATCCCAGAAGGAACCATTGAATAAATACTTGCACATGAATTAGCGGTTTCTGTTTTGTTCCCGAGTTGCTAGGGGAAATGTGTGACGATGTCAACTGACACCACCAGGGCCGAAAGGGCCCGAGTATATGCTCTGGGATTGCGAAATTGTTCAGTAGAGTGCTGCAGTCAGCCAGGACGATCTAAGGGTGCGTTGGGAAGCCGTACTGACTAGTTTAGACCTTCTAGAACAACTTTGGGTGACTCAGCAAGCCCGGGAAGCTGCCTTGAGACACCATCTCTCTACTTCTGCTGGTACAACTTAGATCCAGGGATTTAGCAGACGAGTTAACGAAGTTTCATGACCCAAACCTTTTGTGTGATTTGCTAGGAAAACAAAGTTATCACATTGTGTCAAAACTTGAGCGCAGTGCTGTTTCTCATCATCAAAGGACCCCCCTCCAGCAAACGGGGTCATGGCCGCTTTGTAACAAGCTTTGACGCCGAGCTTTGAGATTCTTTTCGAGAGCGCGGCTGGCTGGTAGCCAGTCTGTCACGATGAAACGTCGACGCCATTGGCTAAAGAGGAGTTATCTAACAGTGAAAAGCCGCACTGCTCTTGACTTGTTACTAAGTATTGAACGTTGGTATGGCGCATAATTCATGGGTAAATTAGAAGCGTGTGGTATCCTCCACCATTCCTACTTTGGCGTTCTACCCCTTCACACTCTGACGTCATGGTTTGTTGGCAGTGCAGGCGCACAAAAACGCGCTGCTTTTGATGTACGAGACAGATGCAAAATCGGCGCGTGGGCAGCACGGCACCACACGACACAATGTGCCAGCTCCTGCGGGTCCCTGCGCGTTTCCGCCGCTTAACTTTCTGCGTCTTTCATGAAGGCGTGTAGAATTGTTTTGTGGTGTTGAGTAGCATAAGACAAAAAACAATCATAACTTTCCGAAGATGCGTACAATCGAAACGAATCCTGACGGAGAAAGAGCTAACCGCCCGTTTGTCGTATGCGGAAATCGGCACAACCTGGCTGTAGTGGGCGAAGCACGCTTTCCCGCCACGTTGTCCTTAGCAGCCGCAAGGCATTCCGATCGATGGTCACTAGTGCTTCACAGCAAACTGCGCCGGAACACCTCATACAGACGTCACTGAACGACGTGCTTCTCGTGTGCCCCTGGGCCACTCAAGTTTTTCTGCGCGGCAGCGTCGTTCCCACTGCGCAGGGCACCGCTACACTGAGCCGCATTCGTAGTAAGAATAAACGACCCGGTCCAAGTTTGTAGGGCGACATGGTTCGGCGTTAAATTAAACGCGAACAGCGGAGTGCGTGGATCAAGGAATATTAAAGCTATAGTGCGCGTCATCCTGTGATCACCGATCACGAGGGTTAGGTGCACACATCCGGTCTGGCCGCACTGCGCGATTCCCCTGGACTCCGACACTTTCGCCTCTGTTAGAGTTCTCATATTCGAAACGAAGGCAACAAAAATGAAAGAAAATTGAAAGTGAAGCGACCTAAAATGCGCGGCACGCCCGCTGCAGCCCCATATCAGCACCACATAGAACTATAACGCCGGCGAAAATATTGCATCCCAGTGACATCTCGCGGTGCTGCCAAACAGGATGTGCGCGCTTATCAGTGGCGATGACTGGACGTAGCACTCTATACAGTTGCTAATGCTCGGGTAACACGCTCCGCTGTTCGCATATCATTTGACGCCGATAGCAGCAGGCCTTGCCACCGTGCACGTTGTGCATGCAGTGAAACCATGTAAAACCGCGAAAACGACACTGCATGACGGGTTAAACGCATTGTGGTTGCACTGAACTGTATCTTCTCCTTATCTGACCACTGCCGTTGTCTTTCATTATCAAAATTTATATACTGTGAGGCACGCTGAAAAGGGGGGGGGGAATTTTGCAGATTTACTTCGAGCAACAGTGGTTCTTACGCGTGCGTCTTAATCAAAGTACGCGGTTATTTTTTCCGTCTGTTCCTCGCCGGATTGTGGCCTAACTGGAAATCGAAACCACGTCTTCTAGCATAGCAACACGGATCGCAAAGCTACGGTGGTGGGGAGAACGATGCTCCAGGCAGGGTCGCCGTTAGGCGGCTGCCTGGCACCACACTGGCTACTTAAGACCCGTCAAAAACTTTTCTGTCGGCGCCTTGGCTCTTTTTTTGGCTACCTTTGAACTTCCCGTTTGACACGTTCAAGCTGGTTTTATTTATTCACCGATAGCAAATACTCTTCACAATACCACTTCTGCTCAGTTTGGTTACAAGTTAGGCGATCATTTTAATGACGTCACTATTTTGGCTACTCTTGGTTTGAATTCTTGCGCCTTTTGAAGTCCGCCCAACGGGGACCCCACTCAAGGGTGACCTGACCTCAAACTGCGCCCTTGTGCTCCTGGCTACGAAGAGCGTCGGATGCGAAAGTAGAGTGCAGATGATCGCAACTGCGTGACCACAGTTACCGCCACGGTGATACAGCGCTTACGACGCTTGGCTGCTGACACGGAGGTCGCGGGTTCAACTCCGGCCGTGTCAGCCGCAATTCGACAGAGGGGAAACTTAAGTGCTCGTTAAGGAACCCTAGGCGCTTGAAG